GCTGGCTGACACGACCCAAAAACATAATGTTTTCGGTTTTGGTACGATAGAAAGGTTGAGAATGAAGCTGGTTTGATGATAGCTGCCGAGTGGCAGTTAAAATCGCCGATACAAAGACAGAGATGGACCAGATTTAAGGAACAGATTGAGGTGGTTGTCGTAGTTTTTATAGTTTGTTGTTTTCATTAGAGCCCTCCATGGTGGAAGGCTTACCAAAAGAGTGATCCAGGACTCGAAAGAGAACCTGTTACACATTGGAACTTAATCTTACCTCAATAAATGTAATAGATTTGTAGTGTTGTAATTAGTTTAAAACTGAGGCGGGAGTTAGATTGAGGGAGCTTATAGTATGGAGCAAGATCTTTCCTTGCGTTTGACAAAATAGCTAATGAGGTCTGATAAGGTAATTTGAAACGGGGCGCTGCAAGCAGCTTGCTGGCTGACACGACCCAAAAACATAATGTTTTCGGTTTTGGTACGATAGAAAGGTTGAGAATGAAGCTGGTTTGATGATAGCTGCCGAGTGGCAGTTAAAATCGCCGATACAAAGACAGAGATGGACCAGATTTAAGGAACAGATTGAGGTGGTTGTCGTAGTTTTTATAGTTTGTTGTTTTCATTAGAGCCCTCCATGGTGGAAGGCTTACCAAAAGAGTGATCCAGGACTCGAAAGAGAACCTGTTACACATTGGAACTTAATCTTACCTCAATAAATGTAATAGATTTGTAGTGTTGTAATTAGTTTAAAACTGAGGCGGGAGTTAGATTGAGGGAGCTTATAGTATGGAGCAAGATCTTTCCTTGCGTTTGACAAAATAGCTAATGAGGTCTGATAAGGTAATTTGAAACGGGGCGCTGCAAGCAGCTTGCTGGCTGACACGACCCAAAAACATAATGTTTTCGGTTTTGGTACGATAGAAAGGTTGAGAATGAAGCTGGTTTGATGATAGCTGCCGAGTGGCAGTTAAAATCGCCGATACAAAGACAGAGATGGACCAGATTTAAGGAACAGATTGAGGTGGTTGTCGTAGTTTTTATAGTTTGTTGTTTTCATTAGAGCCCTCCATGGTGGAAGGCTTACCAAAAGAGTGATCCAGGACTCGAAAGAGAACCTGTTACACATTGGAACTTAATCTTACCTCAATAAATGTAATAGATTTGTAGTGTTGTAATTAGTTTAAAACTGAGGCGGGAGTTAGATTGAGGGAGCTTATAGTATGGAGCAAGATCTTTCCTTGCGTTTGACAAAATAGCTAATGAGGTCTGATAAGGTAATTTGAAACGGGGCGCTGCAAGCAGCTTGCTGGCTGACACGACCCAAAAACATAATGTTTTCGGTTTTGGTACGATAGAAAGGTTGAGAATGAAGCTGGTTTGATGATAGCTGCCGAGTGGCAGTTAAAATCGCCGATACAAAGACAGAGATGGACCAGATTTAAGGAACAGATTGAGGTGGTTGTCGTAGTTTTTATAGTTTGTTGTTTTCATTAGAGCCCTCCATGGTGGAAGGCTTACCAAAAGAGTGATCCAGGACTCGAAAGAGAACCTGTTACACATTGGAACTTAATCTTACCTCAATAAATGTAATAGATTTGTAGTGTTGTAATTAGTTTAAAACTGAGGCGGGAGTTAGATTGAGGGAGCTTATAGTATGGAGCAAGATCTTTCCTTGCGTTTGACAAAATAGCTAATGAGGTCTGATAAGGTAATTTGAAACGGGGCGCTGCAAGCAGCTTGCTGGCTGACACGACCCAAAAACATAATGTTTTCGGTTTTGGTACGATAGAAAGGTTGAGAATGAAGCTGGTTTGATGATAGCTGCCGAGTGGCAGTTAAAATCGCCGATACAAAGACAGAGATGGACCAGATTTAAGGAACAGATTGAGGTGGTTGTCGTAGTTTTTATAGTTTGTTGTTTTCATTAGAGCCCTCCATGGTGGAAGGCTTACCAAAAGAGTGATCCAGGACTCGAAAGAGAACCTGTTACACATTGGAACTTAATCTTACCTCAATAAATGTAATAGATTTGTAGTGTTGTAATTAGTTTAAAACTGAGGCGGGAGTTAGATTGAGGGAGCTTATAGTATGGAGCAAGATCTTTCCTTGCGTTTGACAAAATAGCTAATGAGGTCTGATAAGGTAATTTGAAACGGGGCGCTGCAAGCAGCTTGCTGGCTGACACGACCCAAAAACATAATGTTTTCGGTTTTGGTACGATAGAAAGGTTGAGAATGAAGCTGGTTTGATGATAGCTGCCGAGTGGCAGTTAAAATCGCCGATACAAAGACAGAGATGGACCAGATTTAAGGAACAGATTGAGGTGGTTGTCGTAGTTTTTATAGTTTGTTGTTTTCATTAGAGCCCTCCATGGTGGAAGGCTTACCAAAAGAGTGATCCAGGACTCGAAAGAGAACCTGTTACACATTGGAACTTAATCTTACCTCAATAAATGTAATAGATTTGTAGTGTTGTAATTAGTTTAAAACTGAGGCGGGAGTTAGATTGAGGGAGCTTATAGTATGGAGCAAGATCTTTCCTTGCGTTTGACAAAATAGCTAATGAGGTCTGATAAGGTAATTTGAAACGGGGCGCTGCAAGCAGCTTGCTGGCTGACACGACCCAAAAACATAATGTTTTCGGTTTTGGTACGATAGAAAGGTTGAGAATGAAGCTGGTTTGATGATAGCTGCCGAGTGGCAGTTAAAATCGCCGATACAAAGACAGAGATGGACCAGATTTAAGGAACAGATTGAGGTGGTTGTCGTAGTTTTTATAGTTTGTTGTTTTCATTAGAGCCCTCCATGGTGGAAGGCTTACCAAAAGAGTGATCCAGGACTCGAAAGAGAACCTGTTACACATTGGAACTTAATCTTACCTCAATAAATGTAATAGATTTGTAGTGTTGTAATTAGTTTAAAACTGAGGCGGGAGTTAGATTGAGGGAGCTTATAGTATGGAGCAAGATCTTTCCTTGCGTTTGACAAAATAGCTAATGAGGTCTGATAAGGTAATTTGAAACGGGGCGCTGCAAGCAGCTTGCTGGCTGACACGACCCAAAAACATAATGTTTTCGGTTTTGGTACGATAGAAAGGTTGAGAATGAAGCTGGTTTGATGATAGCTGCCGAGTGGCAGTTAAAATCGCCGATACAAAGACAGAGATGGACCAGATTTAAGGAACAGATTGAGGTGGTTGTCGTAGTTTTTATAGTTTGTTGTTTTCATTAGAGCCCTCCATGGTGGAAGGCTTACCAAAAGAGTGATCCAGGACTCGAAAGAGAACCTGTTACACATTGGAACTTAATCTTACCTCAATAAATGTAATAGATTTGTAGTGTTGTAATTAGTTTAAAACTGAGGCGGGAGTTAGATTGAGGGAGCTTATAGTATGGAGCAAGATCTTTCCTTGCGTTTGACAAAATAGCTAATGAGGTCTGATAAGGTAATTTGAAACGGGGCGCTGCAAGCAGCTTGCTGGCTGACACGACCCAAAAACATAATGTTTTCGGTTTTGGTACGATAGAAAGGTTGAGAATGAAGCTGGTTTGATGATAGCTGCCGAGTGGCAGTTAAAATCGCCGATACAAAGACAGAGATGGACCAGATTTAAGGAACAGATTGAGGTGGTTGTCGTAGTTTTTATAGTTTGTTGTTTTCATTAGAGCCCTCCATGGTGGAAGGCTTACCAAAAGAGTGATCCAGGACTCGAAAGAGAACCTGTTACACATTGGAACTTAATCTTACCTCAATAAATGTAATAGATTTGTAGTGTTGTAATTAGTTTAAAACTGAGGCGGGAGTTAGATTGAGGGAGCTTATAGTATGGAGCAAGATCTTTCCTTGCGTTTGACAAAATAGCTAATGAGGTCTGATAAGGTAATTTGAAACGGGGCGCTGCAAGCAGCTTGCTGGCTGACACGACCCAAAAACATAATGTTTTCGGTTTTGGTACGATAGAAAGGTTGAGAATGAAGCTGGTTTGATGATAGCTGCCGAGTGGCAGTTAAAATCGCCGATACAAAGACAGAGATGGACCAGATTTAAGGAACAGATTGAGGTGGTTGTCGTAGTTTTTATAGTTTGTTGTTTTCATTAGAGCCCTCCATGGTGGAAGGCTTACCAAAAGAGTGATCCAGGACTCGAAAGAGAACCTGTTACACATTGGAACTTAATCTTACCTCAATAAATGTAATAGATTTGTAGTGTTGTAATTAGTTTAAAACTGAGGCGGGAGTTAGATTGAGGGAGCTTATAGTATGGAGCAAGATCTTTCCTTGCGTTTGACAAAATAGCTAATGAGGTCTGATAAGGTAATTTGAAACGGGGCGCTGCAAGCAGCTTGCTGGCTGACACGACCCAAAAACATAATGTTTTCGGTTTTGGTACGATAGAAAGGTTGAGAATGAAGCTGGTTTGATGATAGCTGCCGAGTGGCAGTTAAAATCGCCGATACAAAGACAGAGATGGACCAGATTTAAGGAACAGATTGAGGTGGTTGTCGTAGTTTTTATAGTTTGTTGTTTTCATTAGAGCCCTCCATGGTGGAAGGCTTACCAAAAGAGTGATCCAGGACTCGAAAGAGAACCTGTTACACATTGGAACTTAATCTTACCTCAATAAATGTAATAGATTTGTAGTGTTGTAATTAGTTTAAAACTGAGGCGGGAGTTAGATTGAGGGACCTTATAGTATGGAGCAAGATCTTTCCTTGCGTTTGACAAAATAGCTAATGAGGTCTGATAAGGTAATTTGAAACGGGGCGCTGCAAGCAGCTTGCTGGCTGACACGACCCAAAAACATAATGTTTTCGGTTTTGGTACGATAGAAAGGTTGAGAATGAAGCTGGTTTGATGATAGCTGCCGAGTGGCAGTTAAAATCGCCGATACAAAGACAGAGATGGACCAGATTTAAGGAACAGAATGGGGTGATTGGGATGGTGAAAATTATTTATTAGATTATTTTTTCGGGTTAAATCATTGGTATTGCACTTTTTTTTTCAGTTAATGATGACAGAAGCCATGGTGGTGTAACATTCCTGCTGCTGAGACTTTGAGTGAACCACCAAGATTTTACCACCTAACAGACAAGGTAAAAATTGAGCTGTGATAATATTATTATAGAGTAGTTACAGGTACGTCATGGCTTTAGCGTACCACTGCTAACATACCATAATTTCATAAGTTTTGACTAATTGTGGCGATACTGTGCTTCTTATTAGAAGTACCTGATAATTAATTGATTGCTAATTGTTTTATATGGCATAAGGGACAGTATTTGCAGAGCGTGGGCCGTTTGTTATCATACGTAAAATGTACATTGTACATTGTACATTGTACTATATAGTAATGAGTTGTTTCACTAAAAGCATATTGGATCGGATTGCGTAGGTGGCTGCTGTTGGATTTGAACCAACGATTCACTGTTCTTTAGACAATTGTAATAACCACTATACGAAGTAACCACGCCACTTAGCCGACATATCAGGAGATATTGTAGCTATCTTATATGTAAGCCTTGCAATGTTATAATCGTACTGTAGTTAATTCAGCTGTTCTGCTTTATAAATATAAGTTGGCAAATAGGCGAAATTTAGTTATGAGATTTAATTACCATTTTGGATGAAGCCATAAGTAATGTAATTTTGTGCAGTAATATGAATTATGACAGAGGCTGGGTAAACTCTCTAATAACAGCGCACTGAGGCACTAAACTACAGATTGGACGGTGATACAACAACTCGCACATTGTACTAAACCATTACATGAAGTAACCACGCCCTTTGGAATGACTAATCGGTTTTCGTCAACAATATAATATTAACAAATTTTCTTTCTAAATTTTCCAATAATTGCAAAATTGAAGGAAAAATAAAACAACCGTATGCAGATAAAATCATCAAACTATATGAGCATAGTTACAGAACCCATGCTCTCAAACCACGATGTGACATCTTCGGATAAACCATTTTTACATCCAGAAAACTTAAATAAAATTTCCCTGAAACCCAAAATAGTGAATAAGTCCGAAAAACATTATATAAAATAACTAACTCAAATAATAAAAAGCCGAAAATAAACTTGAAATGTCACAATCCAAATTATATACAATTTGACGAAACACTATACGTGGAACACCTACGGATAAAAATAAACATGGTACCATTCCAAAATACAACGTGTTTTGGTTTTCTGATACATACAAAGATTTTCTATCCACATTTTTAAGAATTAAAGTAATCTAAAATTGAGTGTTTTGAAATTGCTCTAAATGATAGAAGATTAAAATTAACGCACTACTCCTTATTACGTGATAGTTTTTGTCTTTATTACATTAAACATTAAAATGTGCATCAGCTCCCTGTCCTCAGGAAATCCAGATCATCGAATGGTTTGAACTTTGAGGCAGCTTGAAGTTAATCAGTTTTCTGAGTCGTATCTGAGTTCCTTCGTCCTTCCAATTGTTGAAAGAAGTTGCACAATCGTTCAACCAAAATAATCTGACGATAATAAATATTAGTTGTTCTGGTAGGTGTGTTGACAAAAAGGTTAAGAACATATTTTCTTCAATCATCTACCTCAGATCATTGCTCAATAATTATAAACTCATTTTAAAGACAGTTAACAACAAGTTCTTACTTATGCAGTTTCTTATCAGCTGACTCTCTCGCAGGGTAAAATGTTCACGCATTTATCCTGATTACCAGGTTGCAGTTCGCACACATCAGTTACAATCCCTTATTCAACTTCCAGTGTTGTCACAATCTCTATCATGGTACCTGACACTTCTGACACGAGCAGTGGAGGATTGTTATCTCCACACTGATGGTGCCAGCTCATTAGTTTAATACATACTGGAAATCGTCCCACCGATTTCCAGATAATTTTTGAAAGCTACCTATTTATTTGGTCTTTACCCTAAAATGACTGGCATGTATAGTGCCCTAAATACATAGTCAGTATTTAAGGGTAAAACGACCATCTTATTTTAAACGTTACCTGTGTAGTCAAATAAATGAAAAATACTTACTAAAACACTTTTCAAATCCATAACCAGACTTGTGACCCATTGGACACCTTTCGCAAGTGTTCCCACTTGAGCTATGATATGTACTTGGTGAACAGATCTTACAGAATTGTTCATCTGTGACGATTTTTTTCGGTTCTCGACACAGAACTTTTCCACCGGCACACTAATAGAAGGAATATTTTCAGTAATTTTATGTGCTTACATTATCATATTATTTTCATTACAAAAATACAAAAATAGGCAGAATTGATATTTTGGTTAATTATTACTTTTTTCGGCTCTTTTCCTACTTATCCGACAAACTGTTAATATTTCTAGCGAATATATCTGTGACTGCATTTTGACTTTTACATTGTTTATTTTAAACTCGCTTACCAGAACTAGGTGACTTACCTCCCACTCGGTACATGTCATGATTGAACCTGTTTTACAGGAATAACTGATTTCACCAATTTCTCCATCGTACCACACATCTGAAGAGATTACATTTTTAATTATAAGCACAGCATCGATTATTTCTGTTTATTGTTATATTTTCTAAGAAAGAAAAAAACAAATAAAACGTGAATTTATAATTATTCTTGTAGTTTTTACCTTTTTTTAGTACAATACCCAAGTCGTCTGGCAGTTGTTCTTTTACATTACAATCTGAAGCGAAATTGATTTGTTAGCTCTGTAATTTGTATCAGAAGAAATAGAAATTACCCAGATTATCGATGTTCCATCATATGACACAAATTTGCCGATCAGGTATCAGTAAGATATTTAACTCACCATTTTTACCGACACATATAAATGATGTATCATTAAAGTCCATGTCACCACTCGCATTACAAGCTGCAATAGTAGTAGTTGTGTGAGATGAATCGTATGGAATGTAACCAGAAGCACAAGTGACTTTCACAGTTCCTCCTGATTTTACCTTGTCCACAGTTTTACCCGTAATTTTGAAGATAAATCTGGAGTCGTTTGAACATGCTGAAATTTCAATAATTAAGTCTTATATTTGAATAACACAGCACAGTACCGTTTATATTTGGCTATAATAGTTTCCTTTACTTGCACGTTTATATCATGGTTCCTGATTTGACAATTCACTTCTACTCCTCTCAGTTTGAGGAAGAAAAAAATTTGAAAGTCACACATATTACTTTACCGTGGACAGTGATCTGGACATCAGTGTTAGAAGGTGGGGAATGAGGGAACTGTCCAGATGTGACTCTACAAGTAAAAGTGCTGTCTTCTGTAACAGCAGCTCCCGTCACCTCCAGAGTTGCTGTTTGAATGCTGTTATCCACAGCACCAGGGTTTATAGTGTATTTAGGATCATCTGAGATAACATTGCCTGAAGGATCCAGCCATTCCACACTTACTTGGTGTGTAATTCCTGTTATCACACAGGAAATAGCAGCAGCTGTACCGGACATTACCTCAGCGCCCTGGCCTATCACCTCTGATGAATTGGAATGATTCGTTAGCAATAAATATTTTGGAACTTACTTGGTAGATGATCTCTAATATATGTTAGGTGATAAAGTAAATATCAATTTCTTGGTAACCCACTCTTCTAAACGATCACTTAAAATCCTAGTTCAATGAATTTCTGTCAAATTGATTAAGTTATTAAATTACAAAAAGGATGACATACCGTAAACATTAAGGTGGACATCAAAATGTCTTCTGTCTGATTCAGTGTTTTGGATTGAGGACACAGTACAAGTGTACGTTTTATCGGAAGGTGACTGGACAGTAAGGGTTCCTGTTTGACTGTTGGATTCAAGGTCGTATGATCCTGAACTTTTCACATATTTGCTCTCGTCCCCTTCCGCAAATCCAGTCCATTTAATGGACATTTTCTGGGTTATTCTTTTAATCTTGCAAGTGAGTGTTGTTGGTGTGTTGAGGAGCACTTCTCTGCTTGATACCTCCACAGCTGAGGACACATTGATAAGATGTGAAAAAAGTAAACCTTTATTCATTGAAGTTCACTGTTGACAACTTTCAAAACCTGACTAAAACGTAAAAACTTACCATACATTGAGTGAAAAATGTAATTTTAACTAACCAGAACCCGTCTAACTCTGAAGTGGTGTGATGAGACAACGGTATTTATTTATTTTGTGATGGGTTGCAGGTCAGGTTTTGATCTATAAGGTTGAAACTTAACTTACTGATTTCCTTACCCTGACTGTCTTCGCCTTCTTTTTCTTCATCTTCATCATCATCGTCATCATATTTTTCAGTTGTGATAGATGACAATGAAGACGTAGATGAAGATGAGCTGCTACTAGATGAAGTAGCCGCCGTTGAACTTGAAGACTCGTACGTCGATGAAGATGATGTTGTTGGGGTCGTTATTGAGCTGGAAGGACTTGATGCCGTACTCGATGTCATTGACAATGAACCCGTTGTACCAGAGGAAGTTTTTGAAGAAGAGGTACTATCAGCTGCTGTTGAAGATTTAGATGAAGTCGGAGTCGAGGAGGAGGTTTCTACTGTCGGTGTTTTTGGAGAAGAACTTGACGAAACTGGAGAGCTTCCTCCGGTTGAGGAGGTGGAACTAGTAGGTGTTGATAATGGTTTACTCGACGACGAGGACGATGTAGGTGTTGATGAACTTTTCGGTAGCGTTATCGTCGTTGAAGTACTTGATGTAGATTGTGTTGTTGTTGTTGAAGTACTTGATGTAGATGGTGTTATCGTCGTTGAACTACTTGATATAGATGGTGTTGTCGTCGTTGAACTACTTGATTTAGATGGTGTTGTCGTCGTTGAAGTTGATGACGAAACCGACGACGTCGCCGAAGAATTGATTTTTTCCACTGGGGAGTTGAGTCCTAAATGACTTTTACTCTCATCTTTACGTTGAAAAGGCACTATATATTTTCACAACTACAATTAATAAATTTATTGAGTATTTTTTAATGGGATGGAAATGTTAAAATCAGGTGAAGCTAGTCCACATCCTAGCTCCATAATATTTTGACAGCACTCTGTCACAATATGTCACATTATAAGTTTATATTAGACTTACCTATTGGCCGTGTAAAACGGCAGTAAGAGTTAATGTAATCTGATCTCGTCTCACTATCATCCCAAATCCACTTTGCTTCTCCAGAAATCTTCCCAATCACACCCCACGGATCCATCCCGTGATTTCCTATCTCCTCAGCTGGTTTCCAAACGTCTACATCCTCCTGAAACCCAGCCTTAGTCCATCCCTCCTGCTCCACACTCGAACACCTCCATGTGCTGTCCGTTACCAAGATTTCTTCTCCTCCTTCCTCTTCTACTGAAGCTAAAATACCTTCCTCAGAATACCTGTCATAGCAATGTATAGCTATCGTCTTGAAAGAGTCTGATATTTTGAAGATCTTCTCTTCCCTCCAGTCTGAGTTCTCCCCGGATGATGGTTGTTGTTGAGCTCCGTCAATGTACATTGTCATTTCATTATCACACGTTGCACGGAGAGTGTAGGTATCTGGAACAATTGGTTTTGAAATATTGGTATCAAACTAGATATACAGGAAGAAGCTAATAGTATTCTTTGAAATTCATTTTTTACTGCATCAAAAAAATCCATTGTTACGAAGAGCACTAAACACAACGAATAACCACCACCCCACCCCCTCCCCCCCCCCCCCCCCCCCCCCCCCCCCTCACGGTCCACACATGACAATATTAAACACAGGCTTACTGACTGCAGTGCAGGGTAATACATCTTTCAAGTCTTCAGAATTTGAGCTTAAATTTTCAGTGCGGAATTTCCCGTTCTAGTGCAAAAGAATGGCTTTGTTAACGTCGGATTGCTCTTGCATAATACAGTGTACCGGCGATCGTAATAAGCATGATGTTGAACTTCATATTGACTATTATAGATCACAAACTTGTATTCAGAATACGCAGTTACATCACATCCATAAGATCCTGACCCTGCAATTTTATGTTGAATGATGACTACTTTAAAATTTACTTTACTTGTATGGTTTTATTTAAAATGTTATGAAAATTTCGAAGCTCCGCATCAAAGTTCTGGCTAATTTTCAAAATATCGACTTATAAATGCTCTCTTGAATATAAACATACCTTAAGAACGACAAATTTAGTCTACCATAAATTTATTCAAACTTTTGACTAAAATTGTTGTAAACCAAATTTCATAAGACTAAATTTATCGACGACTAATTTTAAAGGAGACCAAAATTTCAGTAGAGCATTATATATGACATGACTATTGAATATTATTAAGCTTACATTTCCTACATTGTTTATAGGGCTTTATAATTAATATAACGACATCACCGTTCCTACTGTACAAAACCGTACCAAATTCCTATTGCACTTAAAGGGTTAGAGCTCCTCTTGGACATTACATTTTTAATCGATCCATCCCAATGCATGCGCATGGTCTATTGAAACGGCTGAAGGATCATATCGACATAAATGATAAACTAGGTCGTACCGACAGAAATGATAAAGTCAAAAAAGGGTGAAAAAGAAACCGAACAGCGTACTGAAGAACTTAGTGACACAGAGTCACAGACTCTGGATATAATATGATGTTATTGATATTCCTGAGTAATGCATTGCAACTTAATCTGTAATCTGCAGCTTAATCCGTTCAGACGGGTGCTCATTGTCGAATTGATAGATCACGTCCGTCTATGTCCGCTTGTCACATACAATCCAAAAAGGACAGGACAGGACATTGCCGGACATTGACGGACAAAAGTGGACAGCAAAATTTGCTAAATTTTGCTAAATTTTGCTATTGAGGCAGGCGGTGATGATTTTTTTTTTTAAATTCAAATTGTATGTGGTTCATTCTGTAGATCCTGTTTTAAATGTATATTGGGGAACGAAGTGAGATGTTCAGGACTGTTGTACTTGGATCATACAAGATCCAGGTAACCTTGTGACGCATTGAGGCACTGAGGCCCTTGAGGCACCACTTTGAGGCCCTTGAGGCACCACTTTGAGGCACTGAGGCCCACGGAAAACCATGCACAATAAAAACTCTAGAGCTTAAAAAGGAAAAACGTGTTTTGTAATTTACCCTGGTCACAATCAGTTAGAGAGCTCGCAGTCCATCCACTCCTTGCTGTTATGTGTGTAGTGCCCACCAGAAAGCACTCTCGGTCAGTCCAATTCTCGGGACTCACGGCTACTCCTTTACAGCGGAGAGTATCATCACACCATTCCTGACAACTCTCAAAACTCCGGAACCGTCCCTGTTTTAATTTCTGGGAGTCCGGAAACATACCAACATTCTTCTCGTAGCTTGTATAACAGCCTGAAATATATTATAGATACGTTTGCGTACCGTGTCTATACATGTGGTCGCAGTTTATAATTTAAAACAGAAATGTTAAAGTCAAAAAAGGGTGAAAAAGAAACCGAACAGCATACTGAAGAACTTAGTGACACAGAGTCACAAACTCTGGATCCGATGTTATTGAAATTCCTGAGTAATGCATTGAAGCTTAATCTGTAATCCTCAGACGGGGAAGACTAAATTTGTCGTTCTTAAGGTAAATGGAATGGAAAATTGTCTCGAAAAGCCGAAAAATGTGACTAAAATTGTTGCAGACTAAAAATTTTCGAAATGTGTGACTAAAATTATGGTAACCAAAATTATGGTAACCAAATTTATTGTGAACCAAATTTATTGGCCCTAAGGTATACTAACTAAGCATTGATACATCATTAATCTAGTTTGCGAAAAGAGAAATCGGAATGGCATCTTTTCCGAAATTAATAATTTAAAATGCTAATCGTTTTGGTTTAGATTAGGTGTGTGACTAACTTTTTCTCGCTGATGTTGATCCAATGCTCATCAATAGAAGAAATATCCCCAATTGATTGTTTCTTGACATCTCTAAAACTAAAATGCGAAGTTTGAAGATATAGAGAAAAAGAATACATTACAATAAGCGTTAAAATACGGTTGAAATGGAGGTATCCGTGTCCTTTTAGCTGGCTCATTATCAAGATATTCGGTCATGTCCCCCGAAATATGAAACAAAACGCTCTATACCCTAAAGCTCTAAAGGTATTTATTTAGTCTATGATATATATATATATATATATATATCTAATGCACCTACAAACTAGTCATCTACAGCTATGTAATACAATAATACCTTGGCTGTTGAGTGCTACGGGCGATAATGCCCGACGCTTTAGCGAAGGGAAAGCCCGGCACGATAACTTAACCAAGGTATTATTTTTATCAGAGTCTACGACTTTTCGGGGAAATAATTCCCGGAAAATGTTATAACCGCTAACAGCTATGTAACCTGAAGTGTTGAAATTAATAGGCTACAGGAACACTAGACTGCCAAAAACTGTCCGAATAAAAATAGTTAGAGCTATTCTGAAAATAAGTCAGTAATGTAACTTACTGGGCCGCGCTCAGCCTGTCATTCCGCCAAATCTATATTCGTTAATGAACATAATAGCCTGGGGTCCTCAGGTAATAATGTAACTTAGAAGGTTCAGTAAGTTGAAATCTACTGAGAAACAAATCTGTGAGATTCGTATCGTGCTAACTGCTAATAAGGGTAATAATATAAATAACAGGTCACACGATAGCTACAGATAAATTTTCATGCGGTTAAACTGTAAATGTGTTCCACCGTTCCACCGTTAATGAACTTACTTTATTTATTTTCATGAAATGAAGCGAATTTCACATTACTTAAAGTTAAATAATCAGAAGATGGTGAGGATGTTTTCTCCCTAAAAAGAAGAAGTAAGACTAAAAGACTAAGAGTTGAATTATCTTTAATAATAGAAACCGTAAAATTAACTGATGATTATGAGCAGCCTCTTAAATGCTTCGAGTGCATGACTATAATCATGTCTGGGACTCTGTAGACTTAATATACAAATTATCTGCTTTTGAAACAACAGCTGGTGTCAATTACTAACCTTCTGTTGGTTTGAATCTATAACAGGTACTTAGTCTGAAGGTCTTTAAATTCCATAATTATTTTCAATCTTATAGAAGCCTGTGTCATTCCCAAAAAATATAAATAGCCATAGTAATCATGGTAGCCATGGTAGCCATGGTAGTCATGGTAATCATTCTCGCTAAAAATTCACTGATAATAAAACTTCTACAACTAATAATCTTTAGTTTTAACACCAGGTTTTGTGAAATTCTTGTTTTCTGAGAATGCAGAGGAGAAAAAGTTCATTGAATTATTGTTCTGAGCAACATTCAATATTAATATATTTATCAATACGTTGTGAAACAAATCATACCTTATCTGACGTAATTTGGAGTTGGACGGACATTGCGTGTATGGACATAATTCTGATTGAACACAATTATTGAACTCTACAAATAAAAGGTACCTCCGAACCTTTGAAAAGTTTTCATTCTTAATATCTTTACTTATGAAGTAAAGTGGAACAGAGATGATAGAGGGTAGATGCAAATAAGTTAACTAATCTAAGCAGTCATGTATATTATACTGTGTGTGCACAGGACACAGGTTGGGGAAAACCTATAGGCTAGGTAGGCAGGTAAAACTCAGTTTTTACCATATTATAAGGCACAGCATTAATACCAGAAAAGACTGTTAAAATCATCAGAGATAGGTCGTAATAATACGCAATATCGGAACTGTTCTATTTATCACAAAACAAAACGAACAAAAAATTGGATTGATAACAGCATGTAAATGGAGCTATATAGATAAGCTATAATATATTAATGAAAGGATATTTTTCGCTCTATAGCAGCCGACCCAGGCCGAGTCTATCGAGCACAAAATAACAGGACGAACCATTTTACCTGTGTCCTATATAGAGTAATAGTTAGGGCAAGAGTTGATTTTTCTGTGAACAAATTCGTAACAAAGGTTTGTCTACAGGAATGTGTTGTCCATAGTCCCAGGAACCACCAAAAAAACCGTCCAGCTGAAACTTTTGGGCAAAAATTTGTATAGTCATTTTTCTCCAGGAACCCATACGCCCCACCCCTAATATTGGTTATTCGGCTCCCGAAGGTCTTGAGATCTCCATAGGGGGTGCAAAATGACCGCAATGGCCACATTATGGCAGGCGAATGATAGTTTCAGAACGATTGGGGCTTTATTTTTCGAAATAAATGGAATTTTTCGAAATTTTTCTCAATTTTATTGAAATTTCGAAAAAAATACACCAAATTATTTTTAACGCTTATTTCAAATCTTACTCGGGAAATAACTTCAATTAACAAATATCAAGGTTAACTAACAAACAACAGATTATTGACCAACCCCCAGACAGCTATTCGACGGTACATGCTACTCTGGTTGAATGTCTTAAGTTATCCTACAGTGAGCCGATGATAATCACATTCGATTTGCCATTGTGGATTAAGGCCACCCGAATAGTACTGGAAACTGGGATGCATATTGTGGTCAGGGTTGGGGGCTTCCACACTCTCACGAGT